ACATCCACTAGAAGGTGGGAAATGTGTCAAGAAGTCGACACCAATAATTGCTTGAGTTACATCCGCAATAATAAAAGGCCAGTTGAAAGTCCGGCGCAAGTTTAAATCAAGTGTCAATAGTTTGGTGCCGTAGGTTGCAATTTGGGTACCATTGGCTGCATACAGTACAAGTTTATTAAGTTGGTGAGCATTTGTTTTAGTTCTCGGGAGCACTGATATGTCAGCTCCAGTATCTACTAGAAAACATAACTGAGTTGAACGATCAGCCAGTACTATTCTGTCGATGTGGCGGACATTCTGTTGGCCAGCAGAAGAAGACCGCCCATTTAGTTTCCCGCTTGTTCAAAAGTGCATGGAGGGGCACACTTGCGAGCTTGAGCGCCAAAATTCATATGATAAAAACATATGCCACTTGTGGGTTCTTTGTACTGCGTTCGAGTATTGTGACGAGATCGACTCCTGCTTCGGGCACGAAATTTATTACGTGGGCCCTGATTTGATCGATTGTATCTCCGTGAAGCATGAAGACTTGTAGAGAGTTCAGATACTTTTTTGGTCAATTCAGCCACTTGTTGTTCGAGGGATGAACTGGAAGGTGCAGCATTAGCAGCACTGACATAAGCTGGAGTAACAAGTTCATTAATTTTGTCAGCCATTGCTGCTAAACGGGGGTTAGATCTTCATTGGAAGCAGCAAGAATTATTTGTATGTTATTAGGGAGACGCGAAAGCCATAGTGACTTCAACAAGTCGTCACTAAAATGGCTTCCTGCCAGATCACGCATTCGTGACAGCAAGTATGAAGGTCGCTGATCTCCAAGTTCAAGTCCTTGTAGTAAAGTACGTATTTTTGAAGATTCACTTTCTGAATAGATTTCAATGAGCCGCTGTTTCAGTTTGGAGTATTTATCACAATCAGGTGGTTTGAGAATTAAGTCATGCACTGAATTCAGAATATCAGACTCAATTGCTGCAACTACATGGTTGAATTTTGTAGAATCCTCACTAATGCGAGCGATAGAAAATTGTGCTTCGATCTGAGCGAACCACAATGAAGGATTATTTTTCCAGAAAGGCGGTGGCTTCACCGCAACGCGTGTGTGATTTGTGGCTCTGGTGGAATATCGTCGGGCATACTGATAGATAATTTTCACTTTAATTAATAAACACTTAACAGCACAAATATTGTAGCATGAGGATACACTATTGATATTTTTGCCATGATAACAATAAATATTTTAACCATGCAGAAAAAATTTACGTAACGATACACACACAAATAATACAGGGTCAGCAATTACACACACAAATAATATTTTACCGAAATGCATTTGAAAAGAAACCCTATTTGAGAAAAAAAATGATGCGTTCATTTTGTATTGCGCACACACAAAATCACCACTTCACACTGCTAAGGCACTTTCGAAGGAAAAAGGAAATCACTCCTGTAGCACATGGGAAAAAAATTCACTACTTTCGAACACTGAGGGAAGAATTTTGCCGTAGCACGTTGCACAAAAGTTACTGATGTAGCACATTTAGCGAAAATCACTATTGTATCACATTTGTCACAAAAGTTGAATGATCGAAGAATTATTGCACGACTGGCGAAGTCAGCGGAACGGAACAGATCACATTGATGATTTGCTGAAGCTCCTTGCGATGATATGCACGACTTTGAAAAAAAACACAAGCAATATATATCAATACTTCTAGAAATAATTGAAGGGTACGTTGTAGCATACGTTTAATGTCCATATTCGTTGTTATTTTTAGTCAGTTCTTCAGAATGCCTTGGATGCACGTGGCTTAGGGTCGTTGAAAATCCATTGTCAGTAGCGTGCTCAGTCAAAAGGTCACCACTTTTGGTGTCGTGTGTGCTTAATGCATGATATAATTAAAGAAAATAAGAGTAGACAATCTCCTATAACAAAAGAATATATTAAGTACTAAATTACAATTTAAATTACATTGCAGAGATCAACGCAGAGCTCGGAACACAGTTCATGCTACCGTCGCGTACAGTTGTCTGACGAGAAGTCTGAGTGAGTAATGACGTCGCTTTGCTGCTCCGATTAAGAACTGGATTTTACACGTGGCGCCATCTCATGAATAGAAGTTGAAGTATCTGTCGGAACGCCACATATATAATCATGCATAACGGTTTGTTAGGTTAAAAGTGGTTAGACAATACTAGCTTTCCAACGACTGTGTTTCCAACAACTGTTCTATTTGCGTAACAAAAGTATTAGTACATTGTACTAGATACTCAGTTACTGTTATATTGGGGAGGCTTAGAGAAATCTCCAAAGTTTAATAGAAATAGCAGAGACAACAGAATGTAATACACACTTTTGTTACGAAAATAGAACGAGCAAAATGTGCCATCGTCTCAGTAGAATAATCATTGCAATGAGCTGGGAGAAGTATTTAGGCAAAATATGTAACTCTAGAGCTTCAGAATATAGTTCTTTAAACATTTTTTGGTTAGTTGACCACTTTCTGAAATCTTTTTTTCTCAGCGCTTTTTGCCATGCTGTAGTTCTCTGAATGCGATCTGTAGCCATTAATTGAATTTTTAGACATTTATTGCTCTTGTACGGTACTGTACTGTTAATTAAAATTCATTACTTGATACGAAAACATAATGGTAATTATTAAAAATCCCTCAAAGTAGACCCCGAAAACATGTGCATATTCCCGCCATGGCACTTTTAATGGAGTGACTTGAAATAAGATGTTATTCTCGCATTCTAGATATCATTGCAAGCATACGCTTGCAGTCAATATTTTACAATTTTAGACTGATAGCATATAACTTTTATCCCATGAGTTATACGAACCTACATATTATTAAATTAGACCAACTTGTGTGAAGCGTCGATTGACTTGATTTAGCAGCATCTTTGTAAAGATACATGACTGATAAATTTGTATATAAATGTTTAAATAGTTGTTTAAAAATGTTTAGGCAGTCATGTTTATCAAGCGTGTTCTTATATCCCACTTGGCCTTATCGTTTCACAGTCTCATAACAACCTCCTATATCTTCTCGGGGGCCCTCTGACAGTGATATCGTTCATGCTAGTAAAACTACGCTCAAGAAGATTCTAGCTAGATGTGACGCGTGGCAAGACCACCTATAAAGTTTCCAAAACACACTGTCCGTTCAATTTCATATTACCATTTGATGAATTTCTAGATTAGCATGCTGCTCATCATCGTCGTTTGAGATGAGCATGCTGCTCATCATGACTTCCTCAGCAACATTTTAAACTGGAAATCTTCAGATGTAGCCTACGACAGCTGACTAATTCATGAATGCGCAGTATGAGAAGAAATTACAGTGTATTATATCAGGAAACGAATATTTAGAACGTTACAGTTAGAATTCAGAAATGTAAATGGAGTTAAAGCAAATATTTGGGCAACATTATTTTTAAAAAAGTAGCAATATTCAATTACCTTGAGGACTCAGTGTTTGTATGGCGTGATAATAATTTGCACTGTTTCGTGATGACTCGAATATTGTAATAATAACAATTCTACATTGAAAACGACAAACGTCAAAGATTCTTCTGTCTGTGCAATAAATAACAGGCATATAATGTATAATACTCCTGTTATTTCCTTTCATGTTACAGCAGATTTTCTGACGAATTCTGCGTGGCAAACTGTTAGAATCGAGATATTTTCAGTTTTTAATCTCAGTTAGAAATTCATTCCTTCTCTTAGGTTAGGTTAGACTAGATTATTTGACGATGGCAAAGCACACGAGAGATATGACATATGGAATTCTATTTAGCCATAATTTCCACGAATATTTCTGAAAACAATTTTCAATTCAACTTTAAATACATTTTCAACAGAAATTTAATGGTTTCGCGCAACCTCTTATGGCTAGTTTGACCGTTATCTTGAGTCTTACAACTACCAAGTTTCTATTACCAGATAATTGCTTTATAATTATTTGGTAGGCTAGAAAAGAAGGCATATTTTTTTATGTTGATCATTTCAAAGGACTTAGAAAGATCTCTGTCCCTTGAGTCGGAAAATTTTATTATTATAAACATCTTACATGATGGCACTATAACTATAAAAGAACTACATGTGGTGCTATTGCCTCTCCTCCAAAAGCATAATTGTTTTTCTTCAGTAAGGTATTGAAAAGGAAGCGATCGTACAAAATACTTTCTCCCATTTTTCTAGCAGAATCTGTCATAAATTTTTATGCGAAGCATAATTCGCTGGAGCTCAATCTTTTACAAACTATGATCAGTTTATATATAACAGAGAAGCATGCCGAGATCATATACTCCGTCGATTTCAAGAGAAGTAGCCAAGAATCTCTCTTCTTCAATTCGCAAAAATATTTTGCGATTTTTCTAGAAATATTACATCAGTTCGGAGGGGGAGGCAAGAATAGTCCTGTTTCAGGACCAACATACGTATATTGTACAAAGTATTTCTATAAAAACCGATGCTAAGCTGGTTGATTTTTTGCCAGTTGTGTATATAATTAATTTGTTATTCAGAAATTGGAGTTAGTTCATTTATAAATCAAGTAATACAACAGGAAGTATGAAATTTTGCATAGTTCGAATAATAATAAAATTATTTATTAGGTCTAGGACATATATAACCTAAAAGTTAAATTGATTTTGAAAAAAGAAAAAAAATGCAGCTTTTTTATTTCATACAATACCACACGAGAAATAAATTGAAATAAAAAGGGAAGAATATGCATAAGCAACTAAAAAGCTACAATTTAATGCGTTATTTAAATCGAAATACTATCGCTATCTAATAATAATACAGTATAGGTATTTAAGTATTTAGGTAGTTAATTACACACATAATATACATTTCTTTATGGTGACAAAGTAATGACTATTAAAATACTAAACAACCGTTAGCATGCAAACACAAGAACCACAGATATAATTTAAATAATAATTGCAGATAACACCAACACATAACTTATGAACATGCTCATATTACCCATGCCATGTTGTTCGAACTCCTGGAGTGTTTGTTATCCTATATTGGAAACAAGAGAGAAAAACTTTCTAAAATATCAATTTCCCAGATAGAACATAATATATTTCGAGAAAAATCTTCTCAGAACTACAAAAATTTACATAAAATTTTTATCGTTTTATTGTTTTTCTTTTCTCTCTTCTTTCCATTTTATTAATTAGTAATAATCATAAAATATACACATAACAGCCAGAAATTGAAAAAGGACCACCACAAATGCAAAAGCTTTGAGATGAATATGGAAACATCCAGAGGTCAGGCAAAGGACAAAATTCGAAACAGCAAAATTTGGCCATTTTTATACAATATATGCTGGATAACACGTGAAATTAGTGCAACTAGTAAATGGTATTTAATTAATCAATGCATACTGAATACAAATAATGTTCCGTTTTTCACAGGAATACGGTTTTTAAAGTGCAAGACCGCTTGAGCTGCAAAATATGCATCCACTCTTGTTGCTATACATTTGTATAAAAAAAAAATCACACCTTCTCTCGGCAAATGTTAGTCAATGTTCTTTGAGCTCCAAGACGCTATTCGGCTGTAATTCTTGCACAAAAAATCATACTCAGGTTTTGCTTATATCTGGTGAATCCGCATTCCACAGCAGCCGTAGAACTGTCTGGCTGAACATATGGCGTAAAACGGACTATATGGAAGGAAGCATACGGCATTATCTTGCTGCATTTTCTTCATAATGCAAAATCTGTAACAAGAACGATCTAATTTTCGTGTTGGTGCATGTATTTACTAGAGGAAGAACATTTCAAACAAAAAGCCATAATCCAGTATCCTTTTTTATAGCAACCCACCCAGAAAAATCTGTTGCTCTCGTACGACGTATTTGTATACAATGATAAAAGTTGACATTCTTATCACCTGACACGTGAAGGACCATGACTATACGTTCGTCTCTATATATTACAGTCAATACATAAAGTCTTTGTTAAATAACAAAGACACGTTCGTCTCTATATATTACAGTCAATACATAAAGTCTTTGTTAAATAACAAAGACACGTTCGTCTCTATATACGAGTATTACAGTCAATACATAAAGTCTTTTCTCGGATGAGCATGCTGACTGCAGAACCTTTGCAGATGATTCTGCCAGCGGTGAGTTTATAAAAATAGCTTGCTAATGTCACAAGTGGAATATGCTTCTCAGTGACGACTTTAGGCAGTTGATTACTCATTCCTCTTTCTGGTGAAGACATAATCTGTATCATCGTATACATTCTAAGGACTGAAGCACTTCTTTGATACGCAGATCCATATGATTATAGTTCGACCGTTTCAAGCGCAACCCTGGTTGGCATTCTGCCAAAACACATAGACTCGTCCAAAAGGGCCGGTATTACTTGCTGCGACGTGAAAGGTCTCTTCTCCGGAAAGATCTATGCTGGAGGGAAAGAAAGTCCCTACCCTTCCACCTTATTTTTAGAATAATTCGGTCCGAATGGCGCATGCGTCTTTGCGCTCATGGTCGCGGATGAGGCAGTCGAACTAAACCTATGCAAATCCGCGTAACCATCTGATTTACCTTGCCTCGATTATGTTCTCTTAGACACTTTTGCATCTTGCGTCCGTTGCCGGTCCGCCCAGTCCGTATGGTAGTGACGCTGACTGCCGTACTAATGGGAGCGAAGTCGAATCTCGAAGAAGACATGGATGTTTGTAAGTATATAGTTCCTGTGCAGCAAAGGAACACTAAAAATACACGATGAGCCGAAAGTCTTATCGAAAAATTGATGGTAGGGAAAGAGGGATGGAGGACCAACCAACTGCCCCTGGGGTGTTCTTCCTCAAACTTGGGCCAAATTCTTAACAATTGGCTAGCTTCAGCAGTACTTCAATCACCTGTAGTACTACAAAGCTGTTGGGGGGGTAGCTTCTATCCGTACCTGTATCCATTATCACCCCTGAAGCTGTCTCAAGAGTTTGGAAATCTAACTAAAGGATATGTTGGACAATCTAATGAAACCTGCTTCTTACATTTGCCTTCTCAGTATGTCTCTATGCGACTCCTCTCAAAAAGCGCCGTTTGGTCAGAAGATAATCATTTTCCTCATCCAGGTACAGATTCCAACATGAAATCCTCGAATAAGCAAAGTAATTATTAATTTGCTTGTATCCTTTGTATTTTATAAATCATCTGCGCATCACATTCTGCATCACTTCTCAACACACTAATTAAAGTTTTTTGAAATATTAATCATGACGTTTGCTATTCTAATTGATTATCTAAGAAAATTTCCCGGTGGTGTCCCCTTTTCAATTTCCATCTCACTATTTAAGGCATAAAAATACCCATGTAAACACGAATTTTATAATTATCACATATTAGCTACTTAAACAGTCATTAGCAGTTTTAATACCTAGAAAAAATTCCAAATTTGTTATTAATGCTTGCGTTAGACTTTTCAGAGAAATATTAGCATTGGTACGGAACCAGGAAAGACAAAAAAGAAGATACTCTATTTAGCGAACCTTCCCAGGGCCAAGGCCTTTATCAGGAAAGATTTGCCAAATAACAATGCATTCCTTTACTCAATGAAAACTGGAACTATCTACACCCGATAAAGTGGAAAGCCCGGTAACAGAAATTCGACTGTAGTTAATTTAGTTTGATTTATTATATTCATTCCACAATTATCTGCTGTACTCTAATATTCATTGCTTGAGCGTAATGTTGCAAATATTTATGTCTTTGACCCTCCTTCTATTGAAAAGAACATCATAATATCGAAACCAACCAGGTTAGAGGAAACTTATTCAGATACTATTATTTATAATATTTAACTTATAATTAGCACCTTTTTATGCAAATTTTTCTCTCAAATAAAATTTAAGTACTTCTTTAGTTTTCAGCCAGGTCCCAATATTTGAATTTAGAACGATAAAAAATTTGCATGAGTTTTTTTTTTTTTTTTTTTTTCACTCGCGCGCATTATGCTAAATTTTTCTTTATGGTTTTGTCAATATAACAGAGCGGGTTTCAAAGACGTCTTCGAATAATTTTTTTCTATGGTAGTAATGCTTTAAATTGCTTTGCACGTACAAAGAACATATGCAGAACAGTTCACTAAATGTTAATTCAAAGAGCAGAAATGACATTTGGCACACGTTAAGATACAAAGGATCCTTGGAATGAAGGGTTCTTAGGGTTAAAATTTAGTTTAACATGTTGTTGAAATAAGAAGCAAATAAGAAGCTAAACTGCGTCATTCAAATTAATCATGCGATCTTACGTAACCCTTAATGCAGATGCCTCTTGACCAATCATCAAATTGTAAACCAAAACTAAAAACTGACTCCCTTCCGTCTTTCTATGAACTGATGCGTCACTTTTGCTTGTGCTCTCCTCTTGCCTAGACGTCTTTCTGCAATATGTGTGTGCTGCTACTTACGCTTCTATGGGAATAATATCAAAATTGAAAATGTTCTTTAATAGGCACAAGTAGAGTGCCAAGTGAATTGTGGCCTCAATTGAATTAAAATAAATGAAAGGAATTTAATCTGGCTCGATTGCTTATTCTTCAACATGGATGGACGCTATAAGTTTCAAGGATCTACGCAACTAGTATTTCTACGCATTTACGTCTCAGTGTTCTTATTTCAGTGCCTCTAAAAGTGTTTTGTCATTACATTCTTCGGTCAGTTCTAATTATGAAGAAATCTACATGGGTTTGTTATTCTGTGTTCACTGTGTTCACAATGAATCATGGGAAAAGTCCTGTTTCACCGAAAATTTTAATGCAAATTTGTGCCGCATTCATAATGAAATCTTTCATGTCTTGTCATCCAACCACAGTTTCATTACATATATACGTTATAATACGCAAGACGTCCTTTCTGAATTCCTTGCACAAATAAATAAATAAGAAAAAAATAAAGAAATAAACTAAAATAAAAATATTGTTAAGCAGACTGTTTACTTCCTTTGTCATAAATAATAAATTCAGTTCAATATTCACTAGACAACATTTGGATTGGATTCGGCATTTACGTTCTTGAGAATTTTTGTTTTTCATTTGATGAGAAGACAGCATTCATTTTATGATTTCGCGCACTGAAAATTAAAATAATACGGTTATCAATAATCTAATTAATCCAATGAAAATTAATATTTATCTCGTTTCATTCTTCCGCAATATTTTTTCATATATAAAATTAATGTCTATTTCTTGAGTCTTCAAATTAACCTCTTAAATCTTAAGCTTTACAAATCTTTAAAAAATTCCAAAGTAAATGTTAAATAATTTGTGTGTGATATTGATTAAAGTCCTTCATACATCCGGCTTTTTCAGCAATACCGTATAATGCCACAGTTAAAACCGTAAATGTGAAAAAGAATATTGCTACAATATGTAACTTTATTGCAATATTCTTTTAAAAATATTGTTACGAAATGTACAGGCGCGGTAAAATGGCTTCCCGGCAAAGCAGTTTTAGGGTTGCCATAAAATGGCAAGGGAAGGCAGGGTTGCCATACTTGGCGAGAAATCGTCCGTTTGGCGACAAAATTGGCGATATGCCATGGACAGATGGAGAACCTTCTTGAACGAATTCTTATCGGTTTAGCCCAGAATGTTCTCGAACACAAGCCGAAAACTATATAAACTCTGCTGGTCCGCAGTCAGTGTGTGTGCCTCGTCTAGCGAGCTGAGAGTCAGTCATTGAGCGAGTGTCTCGAAGTCTAGCGCCGAGTTAGTCGTCGAGTGCATCGAGAGTGCATCGCCGAGTTTTGTCTCAGACTGCTGAGTCGAGAGCTATACTCTTGTGTATCCTCGAGTGCATCGCGAGTTGTAGCGTGGAGAGTCTCGAGAGTACGTGGAGTTCCGAGAACGACCAAGCAAGAGTCGAGAGATGTGCTCTAGTGCTTTGCCGTGAAGCTGTCTCCACAGTGATAGCCTGATAACCTGAAGGCTGTGTCGCTGATTGTGTCAGTGTGTTTATAGTAGTTCATCGACGACTGTAAAACGTGTTTGGAGCTG